CATCTGGAGGAGAAAAACTGTGCAAATTAATCTAAGCATTTCAAAGGAATCATCAACTATGTTGTGTTGGTAAGCCAAAAAGTTATGAAGAACTGGGTGTGGGGGCACAGACCACACCACCATGTGATGTTCCACACTCAGGAGGTAAGGCACAACTACCTTGAGTTCAAGATCAGCTACATAGTGAGTCAAGGCCAGCTTGAACTACAGAGGTAGACCTTGCCTCAAAAAATAGAAAATTAACCACTAGGGGCGAGGGATTTAGCTCAGCAGTTCAAGCACTTGCTTGGTAAGCACAAAGTCGTGAGTTCAATCCCCAATACCAAAAACAAAAAAAGAAAAGAAAATTAACCACTGGACTAAGCACAGATTCTGGCAATCTATCAGCAGTCCCCATGAAGTAGAAATCCTCTCTGGAGTGGGTTCACAAGAGAAATGTAGAGCATATAGGTTGTGTTTTGCTATAAAGGGAAGCAAAATGGTAGGCAGATCTGGGGTCAAATGAGGTTTCTGATATAGAAGAATTAACAGCACATTTATAGGCTGATGGGGAAAATCTAGAAAAAGCTGATGACAAGACAGAAAACTGACTAAATCTGGGCCCTTTACACAGGTAAGGGGTGGAATGAGGTATACAAGTGGAAGAGCTTGCCTTAAATAAGGACAATCTGTCTGTTATAACTAGAAAGCAGCACAGATGCATGTGGGTTGATAAATGCAATGATAGGAGCTTTTTTTTCCTATTTGGCTTTTCCTATTTTCCTTTTTTTCCTATTTTCCAAATTTAAAAATAGGTAGGAAACTGAGTGACAATGGAAAAGGTGCTAAAAATTGTAAGTCTTAGCAGACATTGTGGAGTATGCCAATAATCCCAGTTACATGAGAGGCTGAAGCAGGAAGATCACAAATTTGACAAAGAAGAGATATCATAAATACATATGCAATACCAGTGCACCCAGCTATATAAAATGATTATTAATGGACATGAAAAAGCAAGTAAACCCTAATACAATTGTATTGGTAGACCTCCATACCCTACTGTCACAAAAAGACAAATCAAATAGACAAAAAATCAGTAATGAAATATTAGAACTAAATCAAACTTTTGAGCAAATGGACTTAGTAGATGTCTATAGTGTTTCACCTCCCACCATCAGAATATATATTCTTCTCAGCAGCACACGGGACATTCTCCAAAATAGACCATGTACTGGTTTATAGAACACAATTAAGTAAATGTAAAGGAGTTGAAATTATCCCATGCACATTATCGGACCATAGTACAATGAAATTGGAAATCCATGCCAAAGGAAACCACAAGAACTGTATCAACACATGGAAATTCAATAGCACCCTACTGAACCACAAATGGATCACAGATGAAATTGAAGAAATCAGACAATTTTTCAGAGCTGAATGGCAATACAACATTCCAGAACTTGTGGGACACAATAAAAAAAGTTTTAAGATAGAAATTTATAGCAGTAAATATCCATATTAGGAAAAAAAAGGCAAGCACGTATAAACAACTTAATAGTGAACCTCAAACTTCTAGAAAAAGAGCAGGCTAAACCAAAAGCTCATACAAGGGAAGAAATTATATAGAGATCAGAGCAGAAATTAACACACCTAGAAACTAAAAAAAAAAAAAGCAAAGAATCAATGAATTGAAGAACTGGTTCTTTGAAAGATTAAACAAAATTGACAAACTTGTAGCTAACTTTATAAAAAGAAAATGACTCAAATCCACACAATTAGGAATGAAAAGGGTGAAATCACAACAGACCCTGCAGAAATTCAGAAAACCTATACCTACTTTAAAAACTTGTGTTCTAACAAGATGGAAAATACAAAAGAAATGGGAAGAGCCTAGATACATATGAATTACCAAAGGTGAATCAAGAAGATAGAAAAATCCTAAATAACCCAGTATCAATAAATAAATCAAAGACGTAATTAAAAACCTATCAACAAAGAAAAGCCTAGGCCCTGATGGATTCCCTGCTGAATTCTACAAGAAATTTAGTGAAGACCTAACATCACTACTTCTCAAACTCTTTAATGGAATTGAAAGGGAAGCAATACTGCCAAAGTCATTCCTAGAAGCAAGTTCCAAAACCAGAGGAAGATCCAACTGAGAGAAGTACAGGCAACCTTCCTAAAGAACACTGACACAAAAATCCTCAGTAAGATACTGGCAAACAGACTGCAGCAAATCATCAAAGACTGTACACCATGGTCAAATGGGATTCATCCCAGGGATGCAGGATGGTTCAACATATATAAATCTGTAAATGTAATACATCACATTAACAGAGTCAAGGACAAGATCAATGGAATAGATTCGAAGATGCAGAAACTACTGCAGACACACTAAGCCACCTTATCTTTGACAAAGGTGCCAAACACATTCACTGAAAGAAAGACAACCTCTTCAATAAATGGTGCTCGAAAAACTGGCTCTTCACAAGCTGAAGATTAAAACTGGACCCGTATCTTTTACCATGTACTAAGTTAAAATCAGAATGGATCAAAGATCTTAATATTAAATCAGAAATATTAAATCTGCTGGAAGACAACAGGTAAAACTCTTGGAAGACACTGTTGTAGGCAAAGACTTAAACAAAACATAGGAACACAATATAGGAACACAAAGAATCAACAACTGGGATCTCACCCTATTGAAAACCTTTTGCACAGCAAGAGAATCCACCAACAGTGAAGACAACCCACAACATGGGGGAAAATGTTTGCCAGCTGCTCCTCAAAGAATTACTATTAAGAACATACAAAGAACTCAGGAAAAAAAAACTCAGTCCTTCCAGACTTAAAGACCCAAACCAAAAATGAGCATAAGATGAATACTCACTTCTCAGATGAAGAAATACAAACAGCGAGGGGCTGGGGATTTAGCTCAGTGGCATAAAGCGCCTGCCTTGCAAGCAGACAGTCATGAGTTTGATCCCTGGTACCGATAAAAAGGAAAAAGACAATAAAAAAAAAAAATACAAACAGCAAATAAATACATGAAAAAATGTATCACTCAAGAGATGCAAACTAAAACAGAGAACTCATCTCACTCCAGAAAGAATGGCTAAATTCAGGAAATCAAAAAATAACAAATGCTGGGGGGTGGGGAGGAACCCTTTTCCACTGTTGGCAGTAATGTGCAGACTGGTGCAACCACTGTGGAAATCAGTGTAGAGATTCCTAAAAAAAAAAAAATAGGATTGGAGTTCCCATTCAACCTAGCTATTCCCCTGCCAGGTATCTTCTCAAAATTAAAACCATCACACCACAGTGATGTATGTGCACCCACACTTATAGTAGTACAGTTTATAATAGCCAGATCTTGGAAACAACTTAAATGCCCATCAACTGAGGGATGGATAAAAAAGATGTGTTTTTATACAATGGAGTACTACTCAGCTATAAAGAATGATAAACTGGGCACTTTTATAGGTAAATGGATGCACCTTGAGAACATACTCATTAGAGAAATGACACATGTAAACATCGTAGTTTCAGTAGTGTGACAAACTGAAAACGTATACATTTATGTATATATAAAAAATTAAGATAGTTATACTACTTTCTCTGAGCTCACTGAAGAGAAAGATTTGCACTGATATTGTTTATACAACTGAAGGTAGATGCCTTGTGCTCTGTGTGATTTGGGGATGACAATGGGCAATGTAGGTACCATTGTTGATCCCTGATTGACATGCTTTGAAATTGTGGTGTGACTTGTTTTCTTTTTTTTTAGTCTTTGAATAAAATGGATTTGAAAAAAAATTTTTTTGAGGATAGTCTGGGCAATTTAGCAGGACCCTGTCTCAACTTACAAAAAAAAAAAAAAAAAAGACGATATATAGCTCAGCGGTAGAATACTTTCCTAATCATGCACAAAACCTAGGGTTTAACCCCCAGCACACATGTCCAAAACAAAACAACCCATGTCTTTTAAAAAGCAGCTAAGGGGGCTGGGGATTTAGCTCAGCGGCATAAGCGCCTGCCTTGTAAGCAGGCAGTCGTGAGTTCGATCCCTGGTACCTATAAAAAAAGCAAAAAGACAAAAAAAAAAAAAGCAGCTAGGTGTGGTGGCACATGCCTGCTATATAGGAAGTTCAAGCCAGCCTGAACTACACAAGAACATTTCAAAAAAAAAAAAAAAAGAGCAAACAAACAGGATACAGCTATGTAATAGGATGAGATGATTCTAAGGTTTATATGAGGTAAAGACATTAGAGATTGAACTAGCACATTCAGTTGCAAAACTGTCTCAAGTACTGAGAAAATGGAGTACTGAACTTAACTAAAACTGAAGTTTGGCAGTGAAATAAAGAGGCGAGGCAAGGCAATTTTCTGGACAGTCAAGATTATCAGAACAGACTATAGAATCTAAGCTTGGTAAGAATGAGGTAAAATAGGACAGGGGATTTAGCTTAGTGGCATAAGCGCTTGTCTGGCAGGCTCTAGGTTGTGAGTTTGAACCCCTGGTACCAAAAAAAAAAAAAAAAAAAAAAGAGTTAAGAACACAAGTTCAGAATCAGCAATAAGACCAAAGAACTGTAACGAAATACCGCCCATTTTTAACTACTTATGTCTATATATCTGATTACCCTCTCTAGACTGGGCAAGCTTCCCCAAAGTGGCTCATTATCTTAACCACATAAATTTGCTATCTGGGTGGGTGGGCGGTAAAATTAAAAAGGAATCCCCCAAGGTATTTCTAAAACTCACTTGGAATGAGATGCTGAACTCATACTGTATCCAAAACCTGAACTAGAGAATATACCATTTATATCTTAACTATGATAAAATTTGCCTTTATTAAACAACTGGGTAGCAGAATTCTGATCTTCCCAATCTTTATTTTAATTCCTTGAGGTAAATTTGCAGGACTCAAAACAGGGCTTGAGAATTAGGAGGCAGAGAAAGGAGAGGAGGCTCAAACAAGACTCAATTTGGGGGTAGAGGGGGGAAAAAAGGCACAAAAAGCGTGTAAAATATGTTTTATTGTTCTTTAAAAGGATTCAGGGTTTGGTTTTAAATCAGGCTGCACACCTTTCATCAGTCTGACATCTCTCTTACCATGTCAAACTGGCTCCAGCTAACAATACTTCATTTAAACCAAAAGAAAAAAATTGCTCTAATTTTTAGGGAAAAAATCCAGTTCTGAGGACAATTAACATTAGTCTGTAATTTAAGACAAAATGATGGCTAATGTTTCATGTTGCTTTCTACACACTCCTCACACAGAACCAGGAATGTAATTCAACTCAGGCAGGCATGGATACTGATGTGACACTATGACCCACACACACATGCATGCGCACGTGCGCACACACATGCACACACGCACGCACATATACCTCCTCCAAAGAACAAAATTCAGAGCATGTCAAATAGAAAAGGTTTGCGATGGTGTTGAGCAAAACCCTTGGAGTCAACAGCCTACCTGAAATTAGAGGGTATGCTGTTTTGATCTTGACTCTACGGTAAAGAAATCTACTGTCACATTCAGAAAAAAATATTTTGGATAGTACCATCATTTTTTACTTTAAAATTCTAGAAACAATGTCAAAAAGCATTATTTTGTTTTTCTTCCTGGGACGAGGAAGGAGAGAATCTACAGATTTGCATTTAGTTAAAAAATCAAATGAACTCCCGCAATAGGAAATAGGCAGTTCACAAAGCCGGCCAACGTCTGAGGTATCATCACAATGTGAGACAAGGTCCCAGTCCATTCTTATGGGTCCAAATAATGCTTACAAAATGGGACCCTTTGGTTCTGCAGAATTTCCAGCAGGACAAGATGACTCTAAGCCTGTATTCAGAACCTCTGAAGGAGGGCACTATTAAGTGTATAATAGTTAAGTGAAGAGAGTGCTTTTAAACTCTGAAGGTGATTCTCGGTTTGCTGTCAATACACTCTTGTTATAACTGCCTTCCACAAATAAGGACCTAAACAGCTCTTCTAGATCAACACATTGAATCCAGCAGGGACTTTTCAAGAAAAAATTCTACTACACCATTTCATAAACACTAGGTCCCTTTGCTACTCAATGCGTTACTTGAGGCCTCTCTTCTACCCTATTACAGGCTGTGGATACTTACACACCAGGCATTGATTCTGAACCAGTGATTTTTTTTTAAAATCTCAAAAAGAATCTAATAAGAAAAATAACAAGGCAATCTGGTTAGATTGAACTGTGCATATAGAGAAAAGTCTGGAAATAACCCCCACAGACATTTCTCAAGAACAAAATACAAATTTGCTGTTGCTCCTTTGACCGTTTCTGAAAATTCAGAATACAAAAATTTCTAAAATAAAAATTTTAAGCTACCAGAATTCTCTGACATCCTAAGACAGAAAATCATAGCAGTGCTATAGCCCACGGTTGGATGGTCTGTAGACAGTGTGCTAATTCTCTGCCTGGATATATCTTTAATGACGGCTTAGAGTCATCCTCTTCAGAAAACAAGTTTCTGCAATACCCACTGTTAGCTTTATTCACTGGGAAAGAAAACTCTACTCTTAGCTCAGCTCCTTAGGAGAAAGACTCAGCTTCAAATGCCATTCCCCCACTAATTTACCAAAACAAAAGGTGCTGGCTACTTTGCCTCATGTTAGATCAAAGCTTTGAAGAAAAGAAAGTAACATGAACACCCCATCATCAATAAAGACTAAAAACCACCTGGATCATATAATATAATATATATATATATATATATATATATATGCCATTGCTTTTTTTTTTTTTTTTTTTGGTGTTTTTGTTTTTTTCTAAAAGTGCCCAGGTGGGCTTAAGGCTGCCAGACTGCACGCAAATCTACAGCAACAAGGGCTTCTCCTATTCCATCTACAATGTATCAGGGAAGGGAGAGGACAGGAGAAAGGAGAGAAGGAGATAATATATCTTACTTCCCCCTAAAAAAAAAAACCCACCACAGAGAGATCTATGTGCCGAGCACAGTGGAAGAATGTACTCCTCCAAACAGATGGATATGCAAAGGCTAATATTTTGCTGGTTTTCTTTAGAGATCTATTTTTGAAAATGTTAAAAAAAGACAAGAGATTTTGAAATAATTCAATTCTGGCTGAAATTAAAACTCCGAAATTAGGAGCAAATCACCCTTCACTGAATTAATCCCTTTTCTTTGTCTTTTTCTTTTCTTAAACATTTTATTTATGTTATTATAGGATTTCTATTTTGTTTGCTTTTTTCCGATCATTAGGAGTGGTTGAGGAGTACTGAATCCATCATCACTACTTTGATGACACAGGTAAGATTTCAGATTCACATTTCCAGGTAGCAAGAGTCCCCTCTAAATGCCACAATCAAGTAAGCCTTCGTCTGTTTCTTCCTACTGAACACAGCAATGCCCATTGGTATCTCTGAAGCGTAATCGCATCTTAGGTCGGTATTTCTCCAAGTAAAGCAGCTGTTTGGAATTGAATGCTCCTCTTCTTTTTCTGAAAATATAAGAATGGCAAACTTTGTTTCTTAAAAAAAAAACTGAAAATGCATTATTTATGGTTTAAGGTTTTTCTACTATTTACCTTGCTGAAATGATCATATTTCCATAAGACATCATTCTTTAACAACCTAAACTGCAGTGTAAATAAAACTTTGTGCGCCTTCTTAGAAAGATTAGAAAATCTTTGTGTGCTGACATTAGTCTGTTCAAATAAACATTAGAATGGTTTATCCAGAGACATCTGACTATACCCTTCCCAATTAGATTAATGTATCTTCTGATTGGCAGCAAATATTTAGTAAAAAAAAAAAAGGACATTGTGGCATATACCTGTAATCCGAACACTTGGAGGCTTAGGCAGAAGGATCACTGCAGGTTCAAAGCCAGCCTGACCTACATAGCAAAACTTTTTTTGTTTGTTTGTTTGTTTTTGAATGGGGCATGCTGGGACACACCTTTAATCCCAGCACTCTTGAGAGTGAAGTAAAAGGATCATAAATTTAAGCCTAACCCACAGAATTTAACAAGATCTTGTCTGAAAACAAAAATTTTTTAAAAGGCTGGGGATGTAGCTCAGTGTGAAGACCCTAGGTACAATCCCCAAATACACACCCCCATACACAAAGACAAAGCAGCAGGTTTAAGATATATATTGAAATGTTGGGTCTGGGGATTTAGTTCAGCAGCATAAGCACCTGCCTTACAAGCAGGTGGTTGTGAGTTCGATCCCTGGTACTGATAAAAAGGAAAAAGACAAAAAAAAAAAATGTTAACTATGCTAGAGTTACTACCATCATGCCCTCTTTCAGTCTTTCCTCTTTTTTTTTTTTTTTCCTTTTGGTACTAAGGATCAAACTCATGACCTCACACTTGCCAGGCAGGTGCTTACAACACTGAGCTAAATTCCTGGCCCCTCTTTCCTCTTTTCTTAAGGGCTAAAAGAAAAAGGCAAAACGACAACTGCCAAAGAATTCTAGACAATGGAGCACGGCCTATTACGTCTGACCAATGCCAAGGTTTTGTCTGTACACTACCATCCAGATTTTGTGCAGGGACAGGTCCATTAGGAGTCCCAAGTGACTGAACTGCTCCTCTGCACATTCTTCTTGCCTCTTGGTAATACAAAGCTGCACGTGTAAAATACTCTGGAATCTCTTGAAAGGGGCACTAAATCAATGAGATGTTATCTAACTGTTCATTTTTCAAGATTCTCAGACATTCAAATAATATAATGGATATACCTCACAATGCCCAAACTTGACACCCATCTCTAAGCCTAGGAGTCAGCACACTGAGTTTCCTTATCACTTGCTCTACTTTTTCTCCTTTGTGGTGCTGGATCAAATCTAGAGTCTTTTTTTTTTTTTTCCTTCTGTTCAGCCATTTCATATAGGAGGAGGGCACGGAAAAGCCCTCCCTCTTCAGATCATGGCAACTTTCATCTATCCCATAAGCATAGACACTAAAATCTATCACAAGAGAAAATGTGCTAGTCAAATGGGAAAAAACCTAGAGTCTTATGCACGCTAGTGCTCTTCCACTGAACTACAGCTCAACCCTGCTCTACATTTTGTACTATCTTCTATCAAACAATATTGTAAGTTATTTTACTTGCTACAAATAGATACTTGCCATAAGTCATTCCTCATGTATAATCTTACTTTATGTGTCTCTGCACTAAAACCTCATACTCACTGTCTTATAAACTGAACTGCATCTTCATACTTCATTCCACATTCAATCAAAGCAAGTGCAACCAACACAGGTGCCCTGCAAAAAGAAACATATTTGTAATTATCCATAAACCTTTGAAAATGAAGAATTTCATAAAATCTGATTTTTTATGTTACCAAGACAAAGCAAAGTTTGTGCTTTTGTTTTCCCTGTATACTAAAATATCTGGTATTTTCCTATGCAGTAAAAATAGCTCTACAACATTTATGAAATTATCGTTTTTACTATCACAGTAATTTCTAAATTTGAGAGATCTTTACTCTTTAAAACATCACATTACAACTCAAACTTCTCATCATTATCTATCATCAAAAATGTACTGACTTTTAACCATTATTAAGGTAAAATAAATGGCCAAACATATCTCTCAAGGGTCTCAGAATATTCATTACAAATTGACTTTAGTGTCTCCTTAGCAAGGAACTGGGCTTTTACAACTGAATCCTCTTGATGAGCTAAGTGAGTGCCAGAAAATAATTACGAACAGTTCTTTCAGTATTTTCTTAAAATTTAACAAAGAAAATTATGTCCTGTGATGTTGTTTTAGAGATAAAGTCTCACTATGTAGTTCAAGCTTGCCCTGAACTCATTATTTAGCTCAGGCCAGCCTCACACACACTCCAATCCTCCTGTCTCAGCTTCTCAAGTACTGGGATTATAAGCATGTGCCATCATTCCTGGATTGGAAATTGTATTTTTTAAAAAGCCTACTTTTTAAAAACGTTGTGTACTACTTAACTAGGATAGCTACTGCTAATAAAATTTCCCCAATTAAAGTTAAAACCCAATGTACAGCTTTCAGGATAAGGACTCAAACTTCTGACCTTATGAAGCTATCTACACCACTTCAAAGGAACAAAACACAGCTAACAACCTGAGTCGCCAACACCTTGAGACAATGATAGCATATACTACTATTGTGGGTCAAACTGCACATCACAAAGTTGTATTGAAACTGCTACTAATAATTAATGCAATGCTATCCCAAAAATGCTTAGAGAAAAAGCAATTCTCATTGTCTATACATCTGCTTTGGAAAGTTTAAACTTTGGTGATCTGTCCTCTAGCTATTAACTATCCATTCATCTCAATCCAAAATTAACATGTATAGACTCATTAATCTCTAAAATGATTTTAATTTCCTTGCCAATTTTAATGACCTAAACCTTTGATTATTTAAAAATGGGGAAACATTTTCTAAACTTTATTAATATAGTATGACATCAGAATTAGACAATCAAATGAAACACAAAAGACTGTTTTGAAAAATCCTTACACTAGCTTTTGCTCTCTTTCCAGTAATTTAATATTATTTAGTATAATACAAGCAAGTTTCTACAAAGTGAAATTTTTAAGTGGCTTACTTAAGTATGATAAATGATCTCAGACAAAATATAAAAGTTTACCTTCCCAATCCTGCAACACAATGCACTGCTACACAGCAACCTGGCTCTTCACGAAATTTGGTTTTTAACAGGTTCAGCCAATCATCTACTATCTGATTAGGGGGTGGAGCTCCATCATCAAATGGCCAATCCTGAAAAGAAATGACGTTTTACATTAAATTGGCATTTTCTGTACTACTAATATCCTAATACAGAAGAGTTGTACATCATGGACAAGGCAGGCCTAACTGAACTATCTATACTATATATCTGTTATCACAAATCTGATCACTGCTGAAAAATTACCCAACTGAATTTAAATGTGTCAAGAAAATCAGTCTCCTCAATGAAATGCAATCTGTGTCACGTGTATCTAAATTTATTTTATAGAAATCCCTATCAGAGTCATTATGAATAGTAATTAGACGTAACAGAGAAAGCTACAATTAAAGCCAAAACCAAGTAAAACAGGACAAACACATGCTAATACAATTTTAACGTCCACTCTGGCAAAGAGGACCACCTGCCATCTCACTGGTCTCTACAAGTATTTTTGATTATCTACCAAATGACTCAAAATATTATGTTTTCTTTAGAGAAAGACTCATTACTATTTCCAAGAACTAGTGAATCTAGGCCATGCATGGAGGCTGAGGGAGAAAAACTGCCAGGAGTTCAAGGCCCACCTGGGCTACACAGTAAGTTCAAGGGCAGCCTGACCTACATAATGAGATCTTGGATCCAAAAACACCAAAAAACAAAAAATAAAAATAAGTGAATGTAACAGAAACACACTCTTTGTGTTTATTACATTAAAAAAAAGGCAGGTACCCAACCTTTAAACCTCTGCCTATGACATACATATCCCATTTAACAAAGACAACGCCACATGATGGAGGCCATTTTCTCAAGCAACCCTCTCTTTTTAGATTCATCAGTTTGAGTTGTCCTTCAACCCCATGTACATCTATTATAGGGACATAAACTTATCTTCCTTGCAAGAGATCCTAAGAAATCAATACAAATGGGTGGGACTCATTTTATAGATTCTCTTCTCTGAAGAACAGAAATACTAGTTGGAAACTTTTTAAAAACATAAAGTTACTCTACTGAGTCTGAATAAAACACTTTAAGATACTAGAGAAGGAGCAAGAAAGCAACAGTGCACTAAATTGATTCTACATTCATTATTGGAACCACTAGAACACTTCATGAAGCCCATTAGCCACAAAAGCACATTATGTTTCAATTGTCAACTACGCCCCATAATTAAAGAGCTGCCAGTGCTATTACAAATATCACTACAGTTTAAATAGCAATAAAATCTGTAAGCACCTTAGTCAAGAGTCTCCTTTAACACTTCCTAAAATGCACCTAAGAAACAATTTATCTAAAAAAAGGGGGGTGGGGGGGCTTTTTATTTGTTGAAAATACTCTGCATTTGTAGATTTTTTTTTTTTTTTTTTTGTCTTTTTCCTTTTTATCAGTACCAGGGATGGAACTCACGACTGCCTGCTTGCAAGGCAGGCACTTATGCCACTGAGCTAAATCCCCAGCCCCCATTGGTAGATTTTTAAAGACACAAGTGAAAAAAATTGTCAAAGCAGTAAGCCAAATAAATTTTAAAAGAGCATTATCAATACTTTATCTATCATAAACTTTAAAAAAAAGCAAAATTCCTGGGCCTCAAGTTACATAAATATCTTTGAGAGATACAACTTATTTGTAGTGAAAAACTACAATACTACACACTTACTAGAACATGGATTCCTTCTTTTTCAACTGGAGCTTTATCATACGTAGCATCACAAACTCGAACCAAAGTTGTCACTCCATACTTCTTGAGTTCCTTTAAAGAAAAACATCAGGGAACTTACTTTTGGAACCTGAAACCAAAGCTTCAGAAATGTACCATTACAACTTAAAACAATGAGATACCATTCTTATATGAAGATTAAAATTGTTTTCATTGTTGTCAGATATGGTGGCACATGACTATAATCCTAGCACTCGGGAGGATCACAGTGTGTTAAAGGCCAATCTGAGCTACATAGTGAGTACAAGGCCAGCCTTAACAACACAACAAGATCCTGTCTCAAAATCAAACAAAACAAAGTATCATTCTCATTAATTTATATATATATATATTCTCACAAGTTATTCTAATTGCTAAAAGACTGATACAAAAGTGACAATATTATATTGAGTTAAGAGTTTTGTTTTTCAAAGTGTAAATAAAATCATATTAAAATGGCCAGGTGTTTCTGCCCACGCCTGTAGTCCCAGCACCTGGGAACCAGAGGCAGGACTGTCACGAGTCCACGGCTAGCCTGTGCTACATAGTGAATTCAAGGCTATCCTGAACTATTCAGATGAGACCTTGACTCAAAAACAACAACAAAATCACACTAAAATGAACTTTATAGTTTTCATTCATTGAAAGGCTACTTTTTTATGGTAAGCATTTGTGACCAAATTAAAATCTCTTTTGGCCTCAGTTTTGCCTATGTGCCTTCCACCCTATCTCCCTGTAAAATGATAATTTCTAGATCTTCCAGTTTTCTATGTCAACTCCATAAATCAACAATCACATTTAGAAAAAAAAAATTAGGGGCTGGGGGTTTAGCTCAGCGGCATAAGCACCTGCCTTGCAAGTGTGTGGTCATGAGTTCGATCCCTGGTACCAATAAAAAAGGAAAAAGACAAAAAAAAAAAAAAAAAAAAAAAATCACATTTAGACTGAAAAACCTGGAAATGATTTACAAGTTTACAGTCAAATGTTTGCCAAATGAATAATTTCTCCAAAACTAATATAGGAAAAATACAATTAAGGATCTGACATGATGCTACCTATAACATGGAATAAAATGGTTCCCCCAAGTTTTCAGACCTTTGCATATAACTGAGTAGTTCTGGGGTGACTTTTCATCACAGGTGGTTAAAATCTTTGATGTGTACCATGACCATTAGTATGAGAGGACCAGATTGTCAGTTCTAATGCATATAATCTGCCAAAGGTAAATTACTAATTGGCTCAGAAACTCAGTTTTGTCATCTGAAATAACCATGGTACCTATATTTGTGACCTTAAATACAAACACTGCTTACTGCAATGTTAACTACATATTGTGCTCAATAAATGTTATTTTAATAAATGTAGAAAGAATACATAAAAATCATAGTACTAGATAATTTCTACAATATTCCCAAATTCCATAAGTGCTGTTTCAAAAATTCACTAACTAGGGCTGGGGATTTAGCTCAGCAGCATAAGCGCCTGCCTTGCAAGCAGGCAGTCATGAGTTTGATCCCCGGTACCGATTTAAAAAAAAAAAAAAAAATTCACTAACTCAACACAATGTGAGACAGGATTGGTGGGCTAGCCACCCATATTCCAATTACAGATTTTTTTTTTTTGGTAATGCTAGGGATTGAATCCAAGACCCACTGCTTAAAGTTAGGCAGTTACTTTACCACTGAACTACACCATAGCCTTCCAATTACAGGGATTTTTGTTCCATTATGGGGGATATTTTTGAGACAGGCTCTCACTATGTAGCTCAGGCTCGCCTCAAGGCCCTGGCAATTCTCCTGCCTCTGCCTCCTAAGTGCTGGGATTACAGGCATGAACCATCACAAACGGCTGAGATTGTTTCTAAACATTAATTTCCAAAGGATTTTTAGCCTAAAAATCAATGCCCAAAAGACTAAGTCACAATCTTACCTCTGTGAATTTGTTGAGAGTAGCATTGGTAGGGTTATGAGTTATCAGAAAACGCATGTTCTCATAGGAGATCTCCACAGGGGCTGGACGGTTCATTATGGCAAATAAAAAGTGTGAGCGTGCGTGTGAAGTGTGCGATGGGGAAAATGGGGGGAAAAAAATCAACAAATCTTGAAATGTTTCACAGCAGAAAACATTAAAAAGACCACTAAAATGCCTAACATCAATCAATATTTTATCTATTCAACTTGTTTATTCTTTACGAGGCTTCTCTTCAAGATAAGCAAAAGTATTTAGAATCCACTTGAATCCAAATTCAAATTAGGCCTCAATGTCTGCAGATGGATACCTTCAGACTCCAAAAAACTCCAACTACATACAAAACGTAAGCAGCCTTTACTACATTTAGGCACTAGTGAGACAAGTTAAAAGTGTAGGTCGTTTTCCACTTTTGTTTACTTGATGCTTAATTTTACTGGAGTCATTAAAAAGAAAATGTTTGCAATTAAAAAAAAAAAAGACAATTATTTCTGAGGCCAGTCTTGGTATCCAGAGTCTTCAAGGCAATGTTAATTATGGCACATAGAAGCCCCAAGCTCACTTGTCAGCGAAAACGCTGTGCTGAGCCTGGCAGAAGTCTGCCCTCACGCTCAGAATCGCCATAAATGTGCAACGTATATTCCAACGAAAAACCTGAGGGAAAAAAGCATAAAGAAAATGAAATAAGGTTGATAGCATAGTGAACACAATTTCTTAAATCAAGAATAAATTATTTAAGAGCCAAAGACATGTGAAATGTTACTAATTCTAAACAACTATGGAGAATAGGATAAAGAAGTATACCAACAGTTTTAAAGGATTAGAAACACAAAAGCATGTCTTTCTTTTTTTCAAAACTGGTTCAATCACCAACCATGGTGGTACACACCTGTAACTCAGGAGGCTAAAGCAGAGATTTGCTGCAAGTTCAGACCAGCCTAAACAAACTGAGTTCGAGGCCAGCCTGAACTGCATAGTAAAACCCTGTCAGAAAGAAAGACAGAGAGACAGACAGACAGATAGATAACTTTGTGGAAGGCAGTAATGAGAAAATAAATAATTTTTGTTGTTGCGTGTTGAGATATTGCTAATAGTCGAGGCTGGGCTTAATATTTTGACCCAGTAGGTATCGTGGCAAATGCCTATAATCCTAGCACTCAGAAAGCTGAGGCAGAAAGATGCTGTGAGACCAGTTTGGGCTACATAAGCAAGTTCAAAATCAGCCAGCACTACACTAAGAGACCCTGTCTCCAAAGGGAAAAAAAACACTGTCATGATCTTCCTGACTCATCCTCCAATATCCAGGATTATGGACATGCTCCACCACACCCAGCTCTTTGTGAGCTTTTATAAAAACAGGTCCGTGGAGGGAAGACTTCTTAAAAGTACCTTTTACCATTTTTTAATTTTTTAAATTTGGGTGTGGCCTGAGCTCAAATTCAAACTGAAGTTTGCCAAAGTATACACCAATACCTGCTGACTCAACTGGTATATAAATCCCACCTTCTCATTTCTAGTCCAATTTACCTTTATTATTTTTCACATTACTGCCTCAAGAGTACAAAATTATTCAAAGGTCACTGATTCACACAGCATTCTGCCCCCCTCCCATATAAACCCTACCAAGACACAAGGCAAGAAAAATAACAAAATTTTAAGTATTATTTTAGGCCTGCTGCTCTGAAACACAGTCATCTTTATAGCTGGCTCAGTCTGAGACTATCAATATAATCATAAAACTCCTCTGAAACACCAACAAGGTCTAAATTCTCACAACTTGCCTCTTCCTTAAACTACGGATAAATGCTTAAGTCATAGGGCTGGGGACATAGATCTGTATAGAACATTTCCTTTGCCTAATAAACCTAAGAACCTGTTTACAGTTGAGCGTGCCAAAAATAGTCCCAGGTTTTTATGTACGACAATCTAACTGTACTACCTGCATCTGATGACCCAGCACCACAAAAATAATAAAAAAAAGTCTCTAAAAACAATTGTGACCAGATACAAAGAAATGAAAGATATTGGCTATTTCAGTAAGAAACAAAATACAAACAAGCACCTAAGGCCTATCAACTTTCAAATCTATTCTAGCCTTATTTTAGTGATAACTTTATAGGTATTCTTGGCCAGGGATTTAGCTCAGCGGCATTAAGCACCTGCCTGGCAAGCACGAGGTCGTGAGTTCAATCCCCAGTACAAAAAGAAAACCTTATAGGTATTCTTAATGATATTCTTATTTTATAAGTGTGGTATTACCATGGATACAAACACAAAACTAAAACATTCCTAAAATATAGAAGAGACATATAAAATTCAAAAGAATTAAGAACTTAAATTGTGCTAAGGATACAGCTCAGCAACACAGTGCCTACCTGGCAAACTCAAGGTCCTGAGTTCAATTCTCAGTACCAAAAAAAAGAAGAGAGAAAGAAATAATACCAGCCAAACATGGGTCATACCTACATCCCAATCCTAGGAGGCTGAGATAGAAGGATCACAAGTTTGAGCACAGCTAGGGTAACTTTGGGATCTAGGGGAATCTTTTATCAAAACTCAAAAAATTTAAAAAGGGCTGAAGATGTAGCTCAATACAAAAGAAAAATTTCAATAATACCTCATAAGTTACGCACTACTGTAAAAATATAAAACTTTTGCTCAAAATTAAGATAAACAAAATATATGGTACTTCTCCTAACTGTAATTCCAACTATAACCCCAAAACACCGTAGATTATACACAAAAATATTTTAGAGTACTCCACATATAGTCAAGGAATTTCAGAACTAGGAGAAAGGTAAAGAACTACTCCTAGTGATGGAACATACCTATACTCCCAGCCCTCAGAAGGCTGAGGCAGGAGAATCAAGGCCAGCCTGGGCTGTTCGAAGTAGTAAGTTCAAAGCCAGTCTGAACTACAATGAAGTACTCAAACTTTTAAAACCCAACATAAAAACTTTCAGGGCTCAAAAAGGTTAAAGGTAGTTAAGACCATACTACTAACTATAGCAAATGCAGGACAAGATCTCTGGTCGTCTTCTCAAAATTCTGTTCTTTCAATTATGGAAGTAGCTATATATTTTTCAAGTCACAGTCCTTTTTATGTAAGCATAACTTTCTTCAATTATCTGTTTGGATGATCACATGCAACTCTGTGACCTTGTAAGTGGGCAAGATTACTAAAATAACTACCCAAAGAATGATGGTTTGTATGCACTACACAGCAAAACACAAGGAAATTCTAAGCTGTTTGAACCTTCTGGTTCGATGATGTTATCACACCTAATATGTGTCAGATGAGTAAAGGCACTGAACGACTCACACTAGAATGATGACCGGCCTAAAAAGTTACAGCTCTAGCGTTTCCACTCAACAAACAGAATAAGCTTTATCCCTTTTTGCTTCTTCAACCTCATTTTGGAAGAATGACTTTCTTTTCTTTTTTCTTTTTTTTTTTTTGGTGCCGGGATTGCGCTCACCACCTTACATTTGCCACTTAACACCACTGAGCTAAACTCCCAGCCCTGGAAGAATGACTTTCAAGGATAAGAATAATTCATTATTAGATTTTCAATTTCTAATACTGAGAGCACCAACAAACAATTTTTCTACCAAAAGAAAGTATGTCCTATCAATGATAAATACATGATAAAAAGCAAGGTTTATTGGGCATGGATGGTGTGGCACATGCCTGTAATCCCATGCTCGAAAGCTCAGGCAGGAAGATGGCCATGAGTTTGAGGCCAACCTAGACTACACAGTGAGATTCTGTATCAAAAACAAAACAAAAAAGAATCTCAACCAAACGCAGGGGGGGGGGGCAAGTCTTTGTTCCCTCCCCCCCAAGAGCGCCAACTATATAACAGTAAAATTTTTGCACCTGTCAGTTCAGCTAAACCAACTTAAGTGTGTCTGGTGACACATTTAAGAATACAAATTAAACAGCCTGTAAAAAAAAAAAAAACAAACAACCTACCACAGCTGGCAAGTACTCACAAGTTACAGAGTCTATATTTTAGTGTAAGTTCTGCACCTGCACAACATTCAGGAAAAACGTTCTTGTAAAGTTCTCTTTCTCCTCTGACGTTAATTTTGCTCTACCTATATAAGTAAAAACTGATTACTGGGCTGGCATGTGGCTCAGTGATGAAGTATGTGTTCAGCAGATTCAAGGTCGCAGACTCAATCTCCAGTATCACTCTCCCTCCCCAAACCACGTGGTGTTATACATTATACATGACATACAATGTAATGGCAATCAAATTCAAATATGCATCCAAATGTTCTTTTATCTTTCATAGAGCCTATCTTTTAAAAATGTTTTATTTGGGACACTTCATTTCCGAGGCAGTATTTCAAATTTCAATAAAAGAATGTAAAAAAAATAAATAAATAAAATAAAAGAATGTAACTTCAGTTGTGAGTTCGATCCCCGGTACCGATAAAAAGGAAAAAGACAAAAAAAAAAAAAAAAAAAGAATGTAACTTCACTGAAGATTAGAAAAGATAATCTGTGAGAGATATTAAATACTCCCTATTTGTCCTGAGTAGGTATCTGTCCTTTCCCTCTCCGTACTGCCCCCCCACCTTCAAATAAATTGTCCTTTATTTAGAAAAAAAAAGGGAAGACATAAAGAGAAAAAAATGAATAAAAGGAGTTGTAAGCACAGTCCCAACAAGCTGACATAGTGTACTGACCAATAAGACGAAGTTCAGTGACATGAGATTACTTAAAACTGCATAAGTATATGCCAGAGTTTAAACGTGTAATGTCAAAATTCTACCATTAAATCTACCTAGATAAGAATGTAAAATCAAATGCATGAAACAATACAATAGCTATCATTTAAACATGGCACAACAGACTGGGGATTTAGCTCAGTGGCATAAGTGCCTGCCTTGCAAGCAGGCAGGCGTGAGTTCGATCCCTGGTATCAATAAAAAGGAAAAAGACAAAAAAAAAAAAAAAAAATCTTAAACATGGCACAATCTTAAAATGGAAAACTATACAGAAGTTAAAAATAAAACAAATCTGTCAGGCCTGGTGGTACATGTTTATAATCCTAACTATTAGGGACCACAAGTTCAAGATCAGCCTAGGCAATTTCGCAAGACCTTATCTCAAAGTAAAAACTTAAAATCAGCTAGGGATATAGCTCAATGAGCACTTACCAAACATATGTGAGACCCTGGATTCTTAGTACCATATTTTTTAAAAACCTATAATGAACTAATATGGAAAAAGGACTAAAAGATACTACTAAATAAAAAGACCAAAGTGGCTGATAGTATGAATGGTATGTTTAAGAAATATCTGTGAGTACTATATATGCTTTCATAACAGTGAACTATCTGAAAGATTACAAAGATAGAGTAACAGTGGTTTCCTGGCAGTGGGGAGGACAGGATTGGAGAAGGAAGATCAGAACCCTAACTTTCTTTATGCTAACATATACTTTTAAAAACTGCTTTAATTTTCTCCATATATGTATATTACTTGTTTAAATTCTAAGTTGATAAGAAAAATCAATAATGATTTAACTTTTTTTTTTTAATCGGTACCGGGGATCGAACTCACGACTGCCTGCTTGCAAGGCAGGCGCTTATGCCGCTGAGCTAAATCCCCAGCCCCTTAACTATGTTTTTAACAATGC